AGCTTCTGACGTCTAAATAGGTGAGTCATACCGCTATTACGGTTACCGATCCTCCACCGTTTCTCTGCCATCATTCAGTGTGCTTCCCACGGGATTCGGCTATGACAGGCGTGTGGCCGACTCTTTCGCCACCCCGCTGTCCCCAGACTACTGGTCAGTGGACCCCAGGCATTACGGTCACCAGTGACACCTACTTCTTGTGTAACTCCGCCCCCGCCCTCACCCCCGCCCCTTCCCCCTCGTCGAGTCGTGAACCATGACGAAACCATTCGTTACAGAGAGTAACGCTCGGAACCAGGGCAGCGGCCGTGCATTCGATGGCCTGACTGGGATGAGTCGATTTGAGCGTATTCATGTGAGTTACGTCAGGGCTGAAGGTCATGGGTGTGTCAACGGCCGACCTCGAGTGCCTGGTGTAACGTGCCGCGCTGGATCGCCCGTTAGGAAATGTGATGATGACGTGCTAATGCTGAGTTATATATGACTAACATACGGAGGAATAGTGACATGTGTGAATTGATTGCATCGAAAATTTCACTGGCATGGCAGTGATACATTTGCATACATAGCTTAATGCTATTCCTAAAAACCAGCATCGACCGTAGCTTTTTGTCGCGTTTCTCTATTTTCTTCATTGTTTAGTCGCATAAAAGCAGGTGCATGTCATTCGCTGAAGGATAATAAAACATCTATTATCGATACATATTTAGCGATGGATGTTGGAATCTTAATTCGAAGAACATGATAGCATTTTCCGATAAAGTGAATTCAAAAGAAAAGACTAAATCCTGAATGTTGTTCCCTGTGCTAAAGTTTTACTACGCACTCTTTATTAGAACTGCCTCTTCGCTATTGACACTGACTCACGGATTGCCTGCCGCTATTGCCTCACGGAACACTCTCACTCTCGCTCTGGCCTCCCACCAATGTCTGCTCCCGTCTGCTGTGAGAAGCACGTGCCGCCGTGGCCCATCTGTCGTCCACGTGCCGTCTGACGGGCCGGGGCAACTTTCCGTTTCTATACCGCCGTGGCTACCCACTTTCCGTTTCGTCGATGGTGAGGGAGAAATGGCCAAAGAGGATTGGCACTCAGCCACGCAGCTATGGCGTCTATATCACTGCAATTTAAAATAAGTATTCTATCCAGCCTTTTACTATGTGAAAACGAACATTTTATGTCTTTTTCTTATGTTTATAATGAATTGAACCAATGTCATGCTCAGTGCCTTGTGTCTCCCCATGGCAATAACGCCGACTCATCGAATCAATTAAGAGATTTTGTGAGGAAAATGCTGACCTTGTATTTCAGCTGTGTCATTAATAAATGTCCAAATAGCTAAGATGACCCGCTATGGTTCAAGGAACACTCCTGACGCACGTTTAGATGGTGAATAGGTCCGTTAGCTGTGGCTTCAGGTATACGAGATTTAGGTAATAGGTATGCATGTTGATGTCCTGTCATGACTTAAATATTGAGCTTCTGAGACTCGAAGATGCTGCTTAGGTACACATTCTTTTGGTTCATAACACCGGCTTATGTGGAAGTTGACGCTGAAATTATTCACAGAATATTTGCATCGCATTCTCAGGTGTTAAATGAATTTGATCAACAGTCCAGAGTAGACATACCTTTCTTGATAGTCAGAAATTGTTTGTACCTACATTTTCCCCGTGCCCGGCGACCCACCGCTAGATCAAAGCACGCCCTCTGTCTCCGCGACCTGCCTCCCCAAATCATCCACTCCTAGCTAGTGCATGTCACGTGGTGTGTGACGTCATCGGCGGCACGACACAGAGCCACCGTGTCCCGTGCGAATGGGACTCTGATGACCGCACTGAGCCGGCCGTGTTTCCTCACCGTGACGCGGCTCCACTGGGACTCACTGACCAGCCCGTGAGCTCACTCTGAGAGGTGGGAGCCATGGCGGGGGCGGGAGGTGGGTTTCAACACGGTACCATCTCTGACCGGGCGGCCGAGGGCCTCTTGGCGGCGTCAACTGACCTCGTTTGGGCAGACAGCCGCTCAGACTGTCAGCGAGCCTGCGCGTGAAGGTCATGCCCCTTACTTCGGCCGCTGGTCACCCGTGGATGCGTGCTGAGCCTTGCCAGCGACCGGGCGAATCAACATAGACTGTAACAATCGTGCTGAGATCAACAAAACCGTGTCGTCCGAGTCGAGATCAATAAACACCGTACTGCCGACACTTCACAGCGGGATGCCAGCGATCGTGGCGCGTCGTGCAGCGATTTTGGGCGTCGTGAGGCAATTTCGGCGCATCGTGAGGCAGATGGCGCGGAACGGACCCGTTTGGACATTCCGCCGCCCCCGCCCCCGCCCCCGCCGTCTCGGCGGTCACCGCGCACCGTCCATCCGCTTGTGACATGCCGGGCCGTAACTCTTCGTCCGGAGATAAAGCAAACATAAACCCTGTGGGAGCGACACGGCGACCGGCCAATCTGACCTTGGAGGTGCGTTTCCGCAGCGCTAAATCATGCGGCATCATTTAATTATCATATGGGGGAATGTAAATAGGATTTTCCACAGAGGACAGGTCATTGTAACCCAGTGGGCCGGACAGTTTCCTTATTTGACGGCGTAGTTAGTCATATAGCGTTTGTTTCCTGACGGCGCCGTTAAAAATGACCAGAGATACTGCGAATGATGTACTGACATACCAGCCATGATGAGCACACGCTAGTACAAACGATGATGCATATTTGGAAAGCCTGCAAATGTTTTGAATAGCTGCATTACGTGGCTAGTAGTGTTTACGTGAGGGGACTATGAACTCCCGCGTGCAAACTAGGGATACTCCCACGCCTTAGTACATACCTGTCAATAAAGCTGGATGGATGCTATGCCATTGTCTGCAGGGCTGCTCTGGCGCTAAAAATCATGAGCTGCTGTTGACAGGAAAGTATGCACGCTCCTCCCCACCAGTCCTCTACACGATCCACCAGTCACCCTCCCCTTCTTCCTCCCCGGACCCTCCCCTCCTCCCTAAATCTCACCGGCAACTCGACTGTGACCGCCGGCAGGCCGGGCTCCGGCGCTGTCTCCACCGGCGGGAGGCAGGGACTAAACGTCCTGGACTCCTGAAGGTACTCAGTGGCTCTCACTCTCCGTGAATCATGTCTTTGCAGCTTTAGGTCCTTATGAAGTCACATAAGATCAACCAGCTAGCTTTGTGCATAGTGCCCACATCTGTCTCTGTAAAACATATCCCACCAGCCGTCATGGTGTGCTCCTATGTTACCACCGATGAGGCCCGGCCCGACCCGTCCGGGCACGCGTCCAGGATCGACAGTGAGAGTGGCGTCACGCCTCACCGACCGTAACCTACTTGGTCCGTGACTGTGGTGGTCGGATCGCCTTACCGCGCTCACAGGCTGAGCACAGAGCCGCGCCTCTGAGACCGGGGTGAAAATGAGCCGCCGCGAGCCGCCGCGAGACGCAGAGAGATACAGAGAGACGCCCAGGGCTGAGACAGTCGCCTCAGGATGGGATAGCTGCCGACAGAATGAAGGACTGAGAAGGCAGAAGCTGGTTGATCAGCTTGTCGCATACAGCTTGTGATAGTAGAGTAGCAGAGTCAAAGATATGGGACTGTTCGTGTTGTGAGCGTTCATTAGAGGTGGACAATGTCGGAATGGATGATATCTTATGGACAGACGTGTAGTGGCTGCATCTGAAATGAATATTTCATGACAAATACGCACTGAAACTAGCTGCTAGCCTTACATAATGCTCGCTGATAGAGGTGCAATCAACACTGGAGTTCCCGACAGACCAGTATCAACAGTAGCAACACGACCCCCAATAATTCACCGCGGTATCGAGATACAGCCTTGAACAGTCCACACGAGCAGTTTATTACGTCTAGACAAGCTGGTGGGATAACATCTACCGGTAAGTACAGCCACTTCACGGTTTTACAGCGCTGTCAACATAGCATCGTGAGGACACCGGCTGTGTGCATCAGTTTGGGACCACCAACAACACTAAACGTCCTCTGAACCTGAGTTGTAAAAGCCGAAAAACCGGCAGTGCTACTCCAAAGCTCACTGAGGCGCATCTTCTCGGCGGTTTACGTTCACGTCTGTGACCGGTATTTACGTAGTGACGTCTGGAGACGGAGCTGCTGATATGGGGCTGTTGCCGAGCGGACGCAAGGGGCAGTCCCAGTCATTAAACTCGGCGGCGTGAGTGTCACTGTGGAGCCCCGCTGGAGCAGAGGGGCGACAGACGTATCTGGGCCTGCAGTAAGGGTTTCGCCTACGTAAAACATATCACGGCCCGGTACCGCGAATCAAGGGTCAGTTCTGGCATATTGATTACGCTCCATGACAGCTTTGAGGCCTAATTCAATATATTTTGCAGGTCCACAATCCATATTTTTCATGCTTGGGAAATTGTTATAATTTTTTTTTTAACACACATTTTTACATTACGTTATTACAAATTTTTACGTCTCCATTGTTTATTATAGAGCATAGATATGTAAGTTTTGATCATGGCAACGTGCGACGGTGCTTCCCTGAACATCAGCATTACGATATGCTGCACATGAAATAAACATTCAAGGCACCAAACGGATCCCCTAATGCGTTTTGACATCAATTTCAGTGTAAGCAGTTTTTCTCACATTTAATCTGTTTGATGTGACCTTTTGATGCCTGATTATGTGAGCACGGGGTTATTCCTCGTGAGAGCGCCCAGCAACATGTCATCAATTATGCTCAACAAGCTTGCTTACATCAATCAATAACGCCCCAATTGATAATTCATGACACGCGCTGACCTCGCCTGTCGGTGCCACCTGACACTGTGACCTTGACCTCGGTGTCACATGACACCTGCTGGCGGCCCTGGCCACATGACAGCGGAGCCGTGACCTCGGCTGGCGTGGACGCATGACAGCACCGTGCCGGAGCGGCCGTGCAATTTTACCTGTGTGCAGCGCGCCGGCGCTGCTCCGCCATCAAAAGTGAAAGTCTGCTGCGGCCGGCGACCAGCGCCACTCGTCAGTCAGACCCCGCCGCCGCCGCCGCCACCACCGCCACCGCTGCCCCGCAGGCCGCGCTAGGCCGACCCGTCCCTGCGCCGTCCCGCCCCGGCCCGGTCCTCCGCGAGTGACTACAGTGCACAGGTGTGAGGGACCACGGCGCCCGCCGAGAACACCGCGTCCCCAGAGCGGATGGGATCGCCTCGGATCGGCGCTATCCCAGATCCGGCCGCCGCGATCCGCCGCGCGCCGAGCCCGCCCAGGATCGGGGCTGTGCTGAGCGAGGCCGGAATCGGAGGGACTGATTTCTGACACCGCCGACCGCCGGTCGCTGACGGACCACCGCCGCTGACCGCCGAAGGGACGAGGAGCCGGGACCACTGACCTGCGCGGCAGTGACCTCAGAGGACGGAGACCGCCGACCCCGGACCGACCAGGGTCACTGACTGGTGAGTAAACAAGAGATTACGTCTCTGGGAGTGAGCGCGAGGGATAGAGACGGCACCTAGACTGTCAGTCGTAACTTCAGTGTCCCATATGGTGCGCCTCTGTCCTGCGGGCGCCTTGAAAGGTAGGTTTCTACCCCGGCACCTGCCTACTTGACCATACATCCTGCCTTTGTGACTCGGTGACCGCCTCAGGGACAGTCAGGCGATATTCGGGCAGCGTTTGTCCGCAGTCATACGCTTAATTTGAATTACGTATGTAGCTCTCGAGTTTCTCCGCCCGGTGCTGGTTGGAGCACCGCCGCGAAATGGCGGATTACCGAGTCAAATAGTTTCACGCCGAGTAAGCTAGCGAGTGAAAACCCGCCCCCAGACGGGCGGTCCGCCGCCTCAGTGCGTCTCGACGAGTTGCCAGGCTGGTGGGCCACTATTCCGTCACTCCTTTTTTACCCTTCTACCCTTCAGTCGTTTCTCAATGATCATATTGCCAGCTAGATCATCCCTCAATTGTCAATCGCTGCCTTTCTGTCACGAGGACAGGTCATGGAATATGCACCTCCTGGTCTCTCAGGGCCACCCTACCGCTGACGGGCACAGTTCAGGAGTTTCCAGTGTCGTTAGCTCCGGCTTCCATGCAGGGAAGTTCGACCCGCGGAGCGGTCCCGCCGCGCTCACGTTAGGACCACAGGAAAACCGCGCTGAGCGGCCACCGCCGACCGAAACTGTGACGTGCGGCTCTGACGCTCCACGGCACTGCACACGGCCGAGCGGCCGCCATGCAACGCCCAAACACTGCAGATAGCTGGGCCCGATTGTGACGTCACAAAGGTGGCACCTCGCCGGACCGCTGGTCCGAGGGATATGGGGCCACAGGCGGTGACGAAACTGGGCGAGCATGATCGGCGGGTCAGTTTGCCAGGCGTGAGACGTCCGAGGCGATCACGAGCTGGCACGCTTCTGCTCACGATCTGGCACGTTCACGGCGGCTTGTGTAAACGGTCAGCGCAACAAGCCCCAGGCGAATCTCCCGCTAGTTACGCGGTGGATCGGCCACGGGCAGTTCACGGGGGATGACTCGAGTAGCCTCTCACGGCCAAAGTGCTGCAATGGGAGGCCCCGGTTCACCGTGCCAAGTCACGGTCGTGGCGTCACGGAGCCTGGATCAGAAAATCACGACTCACGCGTCACGCGTTACGAGTATCGTGTCACGATCGGAGTGAGGTTCGTGATTCGTGACGTCTCACGGATGGTGACGAGTGACGTGACGTTGAAGCCATCTGGATATCACTGATTGACAGCTCTGGTCTGGAACGGCTGACCACCTCAGCCTGGATGTGGCTAACGGAAAGAAAGTGAGTTTTGGGCAGACCCCATTGTAACCAGACCAATGTGGTTTCGGGTTGCATGACAAGTGGTCAGTGGTCAGAAGAATTATCTGACAATGCACCGTGGTGGTCACACTTCGACTTGCATGTGTACACAGTCCATTCGTTCGTGTTTACTTTCATAGCGGTTACCGAATTCCCAGTGCTCCGCCGGCAGACTACGAGTCTGTTCCACGGTGAGCGCAGTCGTCTTCGACATTTCTCACGGCGCTACCATAGACATTAGACCCTAACGGGGGACGGAGGGCAAACTTGGGCAACATCTCCCCCTTGCCGACCTCTCGGTCCCAGCGGCGCCTGACCTGAGCCGGGGGAAGCGTCCGGCGGCCGCCGACCCGCGCCCGACCGCCTCTGGGACCGGTGGCGGCGGGGGTTGTGAAATCGCGACCCTACACTCGGCCACCTTGACACAGTCGCCTCATCTCCCAGCTGGACGCTAGGCGGGCTGTTCTCAGTACAGAGACGGCTGAGACGGGTTGTGAAATGCGTTTTAAAATGCTCATGTGCGCTCATTGTGGTCGGTATATCGCTTATAAAGTCATTTCATGCAGAATGCATGACATTTATATGAGTCAATTTTGATAAAAACTACCTACAGCTACATAACAATGGTAGCTAGAAATCGAGTGTAATTGCTTTATGGTGGGTATTAGTGGGATTTTCAAATGGGTGAGCCACTGAGCCAGGTGACCTAGATGACCAGTTCGTGCTAACCTCTGACCAGTTGAGTTTAGTGTGATTTTCCTGCTGTCTGTCCCGTTACCTCTAATGAAGTCGGTAACCCCATGGCGACAAAGCCTGTTCTGTAGAGGTGCTAATGAACAGCGAGAAATCGAAGACCAGACAGCTGCTTTTAAATTAACGATCGTATGGTAAATCCATCGTATTCCATGAACGGCATTAACAACCTTGTGATATCTACTCGTGGGCAAAATCTAACATCTAAACTAGTGGTTTCCTAACTCTGTGAATCCAAAAGACACCATCTCCATACTTGTTTTGGAAAATTGACATCGTTTGGGCCCTCTTCACTGTGATGCAATCTCACATCAAATGGATTACCAACGTAACAAAAACTGTCACCCAAGCGAACAGCCTTGACCGCAACGAAAGCGATTCACAGATTTCATATTCTCGTCGGCAGTTAAGCCCTATTTTTAGTCGGATTCGACGGCCGCTTTCCAGCGCACGTGACGCGTCGACCGCTCGGGTAACAATGAACACTCTCACTCTCCGGTGTGGCGGGTATGACTGCCGGCTGGCTTCACAGGCGTCTTATCACTGCCACAATGGGCGATTGGGCGGCGCCAGACGGTCAGGTCACTGGAGCGCCTCTGGGGCCATCCCGTCTCGTCGAGATAGTATGAGATGGGACAGGGACCAGCACCAGAGGATGTTGGGTGCATCGAAAACTCTGGACTCCCATGTAGAGAGGTTTGTTTTTGTTCAGCTGATTATCCCGATTCTTGATTTCCCTTTCAACTGGCAGCTCAGGTTTCTCTTTTATTTTTCTTATGGTGTTCCTCTGTCCGGACGATATCACACTGAACTTTATCCCGGAGTCAGATAAGGCCAATGAGGCTGTCAGACCACATTTCACTCCTGTGGTTGCGTCAATTCAATTCAATTACGGCTGTCTTGTGGTAAGAACTCTTACATTAAGCATCTCGGGGTGTTATTTCAATCGGCCGTCTGCCACCCTTGAGATTCGGCAAGTGGAGGAGACAGGTCTGCCTCGAGAAGACCGTTTACTCTGACCGTTCCGCTGCCAGCCCCACCCACAGTTCGCCACGGTCCGGTTCGGTCTGTGCGGTCTTGTTTTTTCCCCGGTTTCAGTTTTGTGGTCCTGCCTTTATCCTGCCGCAGACCGTTCATGAACTCCACATCTCAACGCCAGCCGACACTCGCAGAGGCGCCAGGTCTATTGTCTGAACGGGTGACCCGTCCGGTCACCCAGGCCACCCCGGCGCCCCGGCTGACCTCTTGTGTAAGGCGCATGATCGGCGGCGACAACTTTCCAGAGCCAAGGCCGTTCGGGCGACCTGACGCCGACCGGCCCCCACCAGCGACCCTGAAACCGCCCAGCGGCCAGCGGCCAGCGGCCAGCGGCCAGCTCGCGGGCGCCGGTTGCCCAATCGGCGCCCGGCCGCCGCCACAGCCGGCCGCTGCAATGCCGTGTTTTTGCAGGTCGGGTCAGCGGTGAGCGGGTAGTCACTGGGCTGGGCGGCGGTCAGGTCCACCGGACGCTAAATGAGCGGATCAGGATTGTAGATTGGCCGACGGACGGATGGGGAAGACGGGTCGCAGAGGCCCAGGAAAGCTGCGCCCACCTGCCGGCTTCCTGGGCAATTGGAGGAAGAACACCAATCAGCTGATCGAGCTCCTCCGTCAGGGAAAGGGTGACCGGAATCGAGCACTTGCCGGCCGGACTGGTTCGGGATTGGCCGTTCTTTCGCCGAAGGTCTACGGATGGAGCGACTGGATAGTTGCCGATCGAGTTGACCAACTCGTTAAGTTGCGGCAGTGGTCGCCGTATGCCAAAGATGAGATGTCCGTGCATGTTGAGCAATGGACCGCGACTGCGTAAGAATTATGTCGCATTACCAAATGCATCGCGGAGTAAATGTTCGCCGATGGCAGCACGACAAGTTAGTCGCCGCCACTTTTGGCATCTGTCCACTCCATTGCAACAGAGTTGCACATGGAACCCGTCCCAAGAAAACTCGTGTTGCTAAACAGCCGTTGGGCTCAAGTGCTGTCATTAGACGTCAGTACCAGGCATTTAATAGCACCCATATCTCACGGAGGACGGATAGTCACTACCTTACCCTCTCAGCAATCAGCACTCGAGTGAGGTATGTAGTGTTTGCACCAATGTATAACGGTTCGTGCTGCTCTCGGCGGGACCGCGGTGGGTGCGTGTAGGCAGGCGGGCGGCCGCTGTCGCCTCCGGGCCGGCCTGGCCCCTGGAGGATGGCCCTGACCATGTCGGGCCGACCGCCGCCCCTGCCCCTCTGCCCGCCCTCCTCGCTCTGTCTGGTGACGCAACGGGCGCGGCTCCCAGCTGGGTGGGTACGGGGGGGGGGGGGCCGACCGACGGCCGGGCTAACGGTGTCAGCGGCCCAGGGGCGCCGGGCAGCCCCGCCCCGCCCTCCGACAGGGTCCCACTGCTCCCACGGCCGCGGGGCGGGTCACTGGCCGACCGGGACACCCCCCCCCCCCGGGACGGAGGATAGGGGACAGAGGTGCGTCAGCTGACCGGAAAGATGAGAGTGAAAACAGCTGACCGCTTTCCTCACGTGGCATCGGATTCCCACGGCCTTGAGACAGGCAAAGCACGAACCAGAAGGGATAATCTGCTCTCGGGAAGGTGCAAAGCCATTGATAGCAGGATTATGACGTGCATTCGTTGCCTAAGAGCATTGGTCAGCTGGAAGAAAGCAGCACAATGCATTAATCCGCCGGCGGCTTTATCAAAGAGAAGTAACCGTCATCAGCGCGGCCTCGTCATGGACGCCGTGGTGCCATCTGTCGCTGACAGGCGGTGATGTAATTTGCACAACGTTCGACAGATGGCAGTGCGCACGCGGTGACCCGTTTCTCCGGGGTCCCGTGTCT